CAGACAATAAGATTCTTAGGACTCAGGGTGTAGATACCATTAGCCCTCATTCACACTAGAAAAGGCCGGCACGTACAGCTCCGTGCTGCGTACACGGCCGTATCGGGCAGCTCCCAGGAAGGACAGGTGCTGCGTGTGATTAGTACGCAGCCCCTATCCTTCTCTACGGGAGTACGCAGCCATACGCCGCCCTACGCTCACCCACCCTGCACGTCCGTGCGTGTACTCCTACGCTGACGGGATGGATCCTGTCTGCGTCCGAGCCGGTACACCCGTACCCGTATGGACCTGCACTTGCGGTAAGCGTAGGGTGGCGTACGGCCGCGTACTCCCATAGAGAAGGACAGGGGCTGCGTACTAATTACACGTAGCACCTGTCCTTCCCGGGAGCTGCCTGATACGGCCGTGCATGCAACACGGAGCTGTACTTGCCAACCTTTTCTAGTTTGAATGGGGGCTTAGAATTATTGACCTAGGTCATGCCTTCTTCCATAGTGAAATCTGGTTAACAAAATGTCCATCTGTTCTCCCAAGAGAGAAACAAAACAGTTGTGCTATCCAGCCACATAAATATTCCTCCAACAAACTAACGTGCCTATAAACTAGACCAGCCAGCCGATGTATCTATAATCAATAAACCATCAACTGTATTCTTACATTTTTATTGTGACCCAGCTCCCCGAAGTGTCATCTATCACTTTCATTACCTTTCGTGCTCTTGTGGTTATTAGTTAATTAAACTGCAGAGCAGTCTGGTTACATGGCATGGAAATATATAGGATTGAGAACTCACTCAGACTCTTCATCCACCCGATGCCTCGCAAGTGAATTATACAGGCCAAATCCAAGGAATAATCCTCCCGAATGTGATATTTTAGTTGCAAGTAAAGTCAGATTGGTTGAGTGAGTCACTGGCTTCTTATATGTCTTGAATACTTCAACAGCAAAGATCTCCCGGCCATAATTTCCATCTCTGTTTCTGTCCACCTGGGAGTTTTGGGTGTACCCACCCACCTTCCCAGCATAAATGGTGAATGCTCCTAATATTGGGCACAGCAGGTGTGCAGATCTGGGAACTCAGCACAGTGATGGTGGGAGCCCCATAAATGGTCACATCAGGTGTACAGACCCAGGAACTCAGCACAGGGATGGTGGGAGCTCCTCATAATGGGCACAGCGGGTGTACAGACCCGGGAACTCAGCACAGAGGTGGTGGGAGCGCCTCATAATGGGCACAGCAGGTGTACAGACCCAGGAACTCAGTGCTGGGATGGTGGGGAACGCTTATAATGGGCGCAGTAGATGTGCAGAACACAGCACAGGGGTGGTGGGAGCCCCCTCATAATGAGCACAGCAGGTGTACAGACCCGGGAACTCAGCACAGGGATGGTGGGGGCCCCTCATAATGGGCACAGCGGGTGTACAGACCCGGGAACTCAGCACAGGGATGGTGGGGGCCCCTCATAATGGGCACAGCGGGTGTACAGACCCGGGAACTCAGCAGAGGGATGGTGGGAGCTCCTCATAATGGGCACATCAGGTGTACAGACCCGGGAACTCACCTAAGAGACATAGAAGAGACTGCCAGATGGTTTAAATCTCCAACCGGGTGGTCTGACCCTTTAATACGCACAATCCTGGATATACTTTGCACGACTTACATAAAACACACAAAACATATTTTACTCAAATCCTAAATGGCAAAAGACTATAAAGTTCTAAGATTCTGGATTGTCTAGAAAAATAAAAACATTTCAACAGAATGGAAGGCATTAGGAAAACCAACCAATGTTCCTACACATGAATAGCAGCAGTAACATGAACTGAATGCTGAAATATACCGTTAATAGCTCCCATTTCATTTCAGACAATTAAACCAGTAGGTACAGATGGCGGCCACACAAGCTGAAACATCTTCTATAGATTAAACACATCATAATTTGTTTCATTTGGATACGATGGCGAGCGGTCTGTCCAAGCCTGGGATTAAGACTAATGAGCGCCGCAGTCCTATATTGTGATTCGAAAGCTGCTCTGGTGATTTGCAATGGCAATAAACATGAGCGAGCCGAAGAACAAGCCTTACAAAGTGCCACTCAATAGATCCTTGTGCGGATTCTTCCGCAGTAACTGCGCAGGATGGATGTGATTATATTTACAAGTTGCAGTGCTGTCACAAAGCTAGAGTTACGTACCACACCAAAACGAAAGAAAAATACTCAGATCTTATAATATCACCTACTGTACCTTGGACAAGTAAAATCATTTCCACATGGTGAATAACTAAACTAGGAGTAGAATTCAGAGGCCAGTTAGTCCAATCTTGCAGGTAGACAATTTTAGGAGTCGTGTATATGATGGGTGCTCCAATTTTAAGAGTCGTTTATATGATGGGTGCTCCAATTTTAAGAGTCGTGTATATGATGGGTGCTCCAATTTTAGGAGTCGTGTCTATGGTGGGTAAAAAAATAAATACTATACTTGTTGCACTCCTTACCGAAATGTCCCTTGTAGTGGGGGGTGGGGATGGCGCAGCAAATATCAGCAGAATTGTAGAGACGTCACCAACACACCAGTCCTTTTAGGATAGCAAAAGCTTAATTTATTGAAGTTCTTTGTCATATGAACAACTTTGTGCTTGGCCGGGAAACTGGCTTCCCATCATATCAGCATCGAACCAGCTTCCCAAGCCAATCAGGACTAATTACCTGCCTTTCAGCTTCCTGATTGTCCGGAAAGCTGGTTTGATGCCGATTGGCTGGAAAGCCGACTTCACAGCCAATCAGCAAGAAGCCGGGTGTTCGACCGACTCATGGTTTCTCCCACTCTGACTGCCTTTAGACGATCCCATAAGACTCATCTCTTCAGGGAAGCCTATCCCACCTCAACCTGACCACTGAACTATCACTTTCTCAAACAATCCATCCCCACACAGCTACCTCCTCATGTATCACTTGCCCCTCCCCTTTGATTGTAAGCTCTCAGGGGCAGGGCCCTCCTTACCATCTTCTCTTGAATTGTATTGTGATTGTAATGTCTTCCTTATATTGTAAAGCGCTGCGCAAACTGTTGGCGCTATATAAATCCTGTATAATAATAATAATGCTGATTTCCCAGCCAATCAGCATGGAGCTGGCTGTCCAGCCGGTTCGATGCCGTTTGGCCGGGAAGCTGGCTTCCTAGCCCATCAGGAAGCCGGGGAGGCGGGTCATTACTCGCTGCCCAGCGTCCTGATCGAACTGGAAGCTGGCTCCATGTTCTCCTTCCTCTGACCGGAAGTTCTGGTATCAAGGAAGGTATTGGAGCATTTGGGCGAATACGAGTACTCACCCAAATACTGGGTATCGGCACCGATACCAATACTAGTATCAGTATTGGTGCATCCCTAAAGTAAACATAATCTTAAATCAGGGAGTTTAGAAGATTAGGGGAAGTTCCTCTTTAAGAAACCACCAAATGTAATGACAGATATAAGATATAAATACAAACTATACATAGAAACATTCTATTGGGATCATTTACTTGACAACGGTTACATTTTCGTCTGTTTCTAAAAACATAAAACCGTAAAAATAAGACTAATGTTTTCCTTCATCTAAGAGGTTTAGTTCAGTCCACCTCTACAGGTGCAGCATGGGCTGCAGGGACCTTGGCTGGCTAGACACGGCTTCCTTTACATACCTTATTAGTACAAATAACATGATTTCGGATCATACGGTTTCTGCCTCTTGGAGAGCTCCACACTTCATTTCCTACAGACGATTAATATGTAATAAAGGTGCTGTGAGTTGGCTTGTCTCTGTTACAGCAGTCGGCGCTGAGAAGTGGATTTATAAAGCTATTACAGAAGCCTTTTCCTGGTAGTAAAAAATGATTCTGCAGGCAAACAGAGAGGAGAGTGCAGGCTCTTTATAAACCCGCTAAAAAAAAAAAAGAAAAGAAAAGCCATCATCTCGGTCGTGTTAGGCGATTGTATGGGAATGGTTATTAGCTGCTCCAGCAGGTGTGCAGCTGTTTGCAAGGTGAGAGGTGATAACTCACATGTATAAAGTGAGGCCGGGACGCTGGACCGGTGTACAAATATCTGGAGAGTCGAGAGTAATTCCTTGTGCTACTGCTGGGTAACCGCAGGCTGCTAAATGAACGGCAGGCCCTGAACACACAAGGCTATTCTCCCGTCGAGCCGAACAGGAAATAGCCGCTGTAAATCTGTTAATGCACCTGATATTGTCGGAGTAAATGGCACCTGAAGCCCAAAATGATTAAATCGGCTGAATTCTGAGCCAAACGCTCAATGCTGGAGGCAAAGATTGGGATTCGGATGCCTGGCGTTTGCATTTAAATCAGCGGCTGCATGGAGCGTTCGCAAACTGTGGGCTTTGTTTATTAATGTGTCAATAGACATGTAAGCTGCGGAAAAATGTGGTTCGGTTCGTTTAGATATTTCGTTATTCAGATCCGAAATTCAATTCGGTTCGGACGAAATCCGAATTTTGTTAGTTTCGGATGAGTTCACGAATATTCGTTGTGAATACCACAGAGAAGCATATACAGCTATTAATACTAAAGCTGAATCTCCCAGACCCCAATGGCATTCGGGATCCGAATTTCCAAATTGCATTTGGAAGCTCCCGAATGCCATTCGGGTCTGGGAGCCATATACATATATTAGTAAAGCTGAGGCTCCCAGACCCTGAACGCAGTGAGCCGGCCGGCTTGCGTTCCAGAGGCTGAACGCACTGGACCACGGACTTTATGGTGTGAACCAACCCTTAATCTTATCAATGAGTCTTGGAGTTCAATGGTCATTACCTGTTCTGCCGGCCATTTAATGCATGTGATTTGTGGCTTCTGTTCATCTTTTATATTATTCCCCTTACCATGCCCTGCTTGTGTTTATTTCCTGTTTCTGTATATTTCTGGAAAAATGTGTACTCTTGAATAGGTTTTCAAAATAAGGAATTAGAAAAACTATTTTTTAAAACTTTTTTTAACACAACTAACCGTCAACGTCGCCGGTCTCTGTGGCATCCGGCTTGGCTTCCCTGTGTTGTCCTTCAGCAACTTTCACGGCAACTGCTCTGCAAATGGCTCCCAGCTTCCTGTCCAGCGAGCGGACCCCCGCTTCACGCGTATACCTGAGAATAACAGCAAGGGTTGCCTTAGAGAACTCCATCGTGCCCAAGTTTAAACAGGAATTCCAATCAATATGTGGAATCAGTTAAATGCTCATGTCAATCTTGGTTTGGGTTTTATGCAATCACCTGCCAATGATTTCCAGGAAGCGCCCACAAGTCTGCAGACTGAGGTTACAAAATTATGAGGAAAACAAGTAGGCAAGAATGGGAATACCTGGCCTGTATAGTCACGTCACTCACCGAACGGTGTTCTCTGAGCACCAAACTACTAGAAACAGGGATTTGAAAGCTGTGGCATGAACTGCTGCACTACAGCTATGACTGCATATTAAAAAAAAAACCTATAGACTCTTTGGCTGTGTTGCATATTTAAAGAGGCCCTGTCATCCAGCCCACCTAGAGCCAAGTGACAGGGTCAGTGTGAAGTCCACCCGCTGAACACCTTATTCTTACATCTTAAGCACTCCCCTACCACTCCTTCTGTTTTCAAGGCTGAAAAATATCCAGTACTTCTGGGCATGTGACCTTTTCCCATGATGGAGTGCTTGGGCCTAGAGGCCAACTGCTAGGCCTGAGCGCCATCATAGGGGGGGATGAAGGTTACAGCTCCCTCTGAGTTTCAACACTAGGCAGTATACAATATTGGGTACTTTGGTGATGGATGTGATGTAAAAGAGTGGTGGCAGGGCAGTATAAACTGGTCAGTAGATGGGCTTTCACAGACCCGATCACTTTGCTGTGAATGGGCAAGGTGGCAGGGTCTCTTTAAAGTCTGATTTACTGATAAAATATCCAAATCAGTATTTCGGGTTGCTCACCTGGTGATAATTTCCAGAGTGGTTTCAGGTGGAATCTGAATTTGCTGAGGGGTCAGTCCATGCTGTGCCAGTTGTTTAGCAATGAGATGTCTGTGTGCAATCTCAATCTTCTCTTCCTGAGTGTATCCTGCAGGGAGAAAATGACAACAGTCAGTCCATAATAATACTCCATGCAGCGAAGAGACATGAGACACGAGATTCATCTAATGGGCTGGGTATTTGGCAGATGCACCAGAGAAAACTTCAACTGCCTTTTGCAAGCTTATATCTTTCACTGTGCATGCTCCAAAGAGAGGATGTGGTGATCTCCAGGCCAGCTTGCTCTCAGGTTCCTTATACTATAAAATATATAACACTGTTGGTGTTCCCATTTAGAGGAGTAGGGCCGTATAATACAGAAACATCTGGAGGCAACGTACAGCTTCTAGATACAATGGTTTTTGAGTTGGAAACCCTTTATACAAGTCCTCTACTGGTCAGCAGTGCTAGACAAGGTCCTGCACTTTAGTGCTTGGCTTACTCTCAGGTGATGTGTAGCTTTCAAGGAGTATCTAGGAGTTGAGACAAGGCCCCTGGAATTGAGATTCGCCAGTTAAATTAGATTAAGCTTCTCCTACATATGCCTACTGGAAGCCTCTGTTGGGAGAAAGACCAGATCAAACAGGTTAAAGGACAACCCAAACTGCAATGGACGGCTTTTATCTCCCAGATGTCTGGAGAACACATTGGCATCCTTCAGGAAGAGCTGGTGTCCACATGGGCTTCTGTAAGATTAAAGTGAACCTTTCTGTTTCCCAACCATGTAAACATGGTGGTAGCTTCATAATCTGGTCCATTACCGGTTTTAAATGTACAATCCCGTTCCTCAAAATACACAGCCTATTAAGCCCTAAGTAAGCCCTCTCCAGCTCTATTTCTAACCTCTACCCCTACCTGTTGATTTGTGAGGAGGGTAACATATGACTTGCATACGAATGGCAAAGGATATGGTTGATGTGTAGGCTGTTCTCTGCAATGTGTAAGAAACAAGATGGTGGTACCTAACTTGGCATTGCCGGGATCTCTAAGGACAAGATGGAGCAGAGTTCTTGATGACAAATTCATATTTGTTCCATAGTTTATATTTGGTGATTTCAGTAAACAATGTGAAAGGAAAGGGTCGCTTTATGCGGCTGAAAAATGAATAAACTTCGCACTGATCTACCACTCGATAAGGCAATTCCAGGGTCATGCCAACAAAGCAGACTACTCTTAATAGGACCAAAAAAAAAAAGAAGCTTTTCAGCTGGACATTTTTTGGCCAGGTGTAGTTAATAATTATAGTAGTTAATAGGGATGCACCGATACCGGTTTTTCGGTATCGAGTACCGATATTTTGCTTTTGGTACTCGCCGATACCGAGTATCAATACCGGTGCTGCCGCTGGCATGGAGCTGGCTTCACGGGCAATCAGGATGCCGGGCGGCGGGTAATGATGGCTCCATGTTGTCTGGCTGGCTTGATTGGCCGGGAACCTGGCTGCCCAGCCAATCAGCATGGAGTCGGCTTTCTGGCCAGTCAGGAAGCCGAGAGGCAGGTCATTACTCGCCGCACAGCTTCCTGATCGCACGGGAAGCTGGCTCCATGTTCCCCTATGGCACTGCCGGTCAGAGGAAATCTTCCTCTGACCGGAAGTTCCGGTATCAGGGAAGGTATCGGAGCATTTGGGCGAGTACGAGTACTAGTATCGGTATATCCCTGGTAGTTATTATTATTTTGGCCTAATAAATAAAAAATAACACTGCTAAAAATAAGTGCCCTTATGTTCCAAAAAGCTGAGCTCTGCAGAGGGCAGCTCTAGCGCAAGTGAAAGAGTGGAAGGGTCACATGACTATTTATGGGCCAAAAGCGTCCATAACGGAGGTGGACAGCCCTGCACTTCTAAAATGTTGCTGGCTTAACATTTCCAAATTGTGTTGATCAAAGATCATAGAAAAGCCCCACCCTTTCCCGTGCAGACTAGTCCCTTCAGACATGTTCTTGCAGAACAAAACAACATCTTTCTGGAACAAGACAGATCTATATTTGGACCATCAGAAGGTCCACAACACCAGTTCTTCAATGTGCACAATTATGGGTTTTATCTATTGTTGACCTTCACCAGTAAAATTTGCATTCACCGGGTTACATTTATTATCATGGTGGATGATGGTTTGCTATGTACCGGTGATTCTTATCAAGCAATCCTGTTGCTGGATACTCGGCGCACGGTCCCAGCCGGCATAGACTTCTACTGCGCAGCATTAGGTCAAATCAGAGCTTACCGGGAACCTCAAGCACCTCCATGCGATCCAGGAGGGCGGGTGGAATGGAGGCGGTTGTATTAGCAGTGGCGATGAAAATGACCTGGGAAAGGTCAAAGGGCACGTTCAGATAGTGATCTGTGAAGTTGTGATTCTGCTCGGGGTCCAGAACCTGAGGAACAAAGAGGATACAGTCACCAGCAGTAATAACGGGTACCTGGAGTGTCTTTTCAGGGGGTTCTGCTTATGTTTTTATATCATAATCATTTGTTTTTTTTATTGAAAAGAAATAAAACACTTTAGGGGTGCAGGAGGAATAGGAGGGAATATTGGGTACATGAGAGAGGTTGTGTACCTCAGCCAGAGCTGAACAAGTACATGTTGTGAAATACTGCAACACTGACCTGCAATTATAATTTTAGGGAGGCAGATTTACTATGCTATTACTTAACTATGGACAGTTCAGTATTTACATATTCCTAGCAAGCAGTACCACAAGCTTTAAAATAAGCCCTCGTCGTCTTCTGTAGCTGCAGACATTCTTAAGCAATGTACCCTCAAAGTTGACGGCTGCTTCACTGAAGTATCCAAGTCCTGAGAAGCTCAGATTCCCCTGCTACCCCCTCCCATCAGTGACTCAGCAGCTCAGCTCTCCCTTCTTGCTCTAAGCATTGACTTAGAAGTTCAACTTACCCTGCTCCAACCTCCCTGCAGTGACTCATCAGCTCAGCTTCCTTGGGTCCCACTTCCAGCAGTCACCCAGCAGTTTAACTTCCCGTTTCCACAATCCAGCAGTGATTTAGCAGCTCAGATCCTACTTCTTCCTCCCAACAGTGACTCAGAAGCTCAGCTTCCCCTGCTCACCCCTCCCAGCAATGACTCGTTAGCCTTTTAATCTAATGAGTCACTGCTGGGATTCATTAACATTAATTAATTGTTTCAGCTAATGAAAACAGAGCAGGAGCTCTTGGATGGGGGCTGAGCTGAATCAGGGGAGCCAAGATTCCAAGTCACTGTTTGGGCTTGAAAGAAGTGGGATCTGAGCTGCGAAATCACTGCTGGAAGGTGGGAACAAGGGAAGCTAAAACCTGCTGAATCACTGCTGGGAGGGGGACCCAAGGAAACTGAGCTGCTCAGTCACTGCAGGGAAGTGGGAACAGGAGAAGCTGAACTTCTTAGGCACTGCTGAGAGCAAGAAAGAAGAGCTGAGCTGCAGAGTCAATGATGGGAGGGGGAGAGCAGAGGAAACAGAGCTTTCTGAGAAGAGGACTTGGATACTTCAGTGCATCTGCTGTCAACTTTTAGTCATCCCTGGGAGGAAGAAAATGGGAGCTGAGCTGCTTACTGACTGCAGAGAGGGAGAACGGGGAGCGGAGCTGCTGAGACACTGCAGGGTGAGCTGCTGGGAGAAGGACTTGACCAAATTCAGTGCTTCTGCTGTGAACTTTAAAGATGAACTTCTCCATAGTGCCTGCACTTAGAGGTCAGTGAGGGCTTACTTGTTACTATATGTAAAAAAAACAGAGGCCAGCCTATGGGCATTCAAGTGTTTGAAGTAATAAATGCCCAGGCCATTGGTCATGTGACTAACCAGTGTTGGATTACGAGGAAAGCAAATAAGAAAAGTCCATTGTAAGGATTTATACACGTTGGAGATGTTTACGGTGAGAACTGACAACAATTTGTACATCTATGGATACGAATAACCACTGTTTTGTGAAAGAAGACTGAAGCCGGCAGTTTTGGACAGACATTTTCACCCTTATTGCAGCCAACAGAACAGAAAATTCTAAATGCAGACACTTGATGACAATAAACAATGGCTGAACCCGACAAGAGGACTTTCCCCCCCCTCGCACAGCCAGACATGTCACAGGCTACCACGCTAATCACACAATCCATCACCGACTCCTTGAGACTGTTTTGTGGGAAGGGAAGTCGATTCCAAAAATAGCCGCCGGACTTTCTACAACAGAACGTCTCCTCTTCCTTCAACCCCTGCAAGACAAAGTTCTCAGAAGCCGCACAAGATCTACTAACCAGAACCTCTATCTGTGACTAAAGCCTGCGGGCCGAACAAAATAAATCGAACAGATGCCTCCATGGTTTCCTGATGGTGACAACAGTGGCCTGCCCAATATATGTTATCAAAACCACTGCAGTCTCTAGATTTTCCTTTATAAACACCGGCCTCTTTGAGCCACTTCCTGTCTGCATACACTCGCTCCCGTGTTGCCTACACATCATTGCTCTAGACAGGCTTCCTGATAGTGACAACAGTGGTGGACTCACACACCTCCATAGGATGTGGAGGAGTCACACTCCTGGCTCACTGGCTTCGCCGACAGCGGACCACAGCTGTGGCTGAGATATATATAAACGGGCATGGTGATTCTTGGACTCTCGGTCTCGCAGCTCGTGGATGAGACAGAAGAGGACTAAAGCTCCATCTCCACTGCACTGCTGACCATTGCGCGCTTATTCTAAGGGTGTGGTGCTTTTATGTAGGTTCATTGGTTGTGCAGGTTCTATGGTGGGCTGTGCGGGCTCTCAGGTGGCTGTGCAGGTTCTATGGTGGGCTGTGCGGTCTCTCAGGTGACTGTGTAGGCTCTATGGTGGGCTGTGCAAGCTCTCAGGTGGTGGTGCAGGTTCTATGGTGGCCTGTGCAGACTCCAAGGTGGTGGTGCAGGTTCTGTGGTGGGCTGTGTGGTTTCCCAGGTGACTGCACAGGGTCTATGCTGGGCTGTGTGTGCTCTCAGGTGGCTGTGCAGATTCTATGGTGGCCTGTGTGTGTTCTCAGGTGGCTGTGAAGGTTCGTTGGTGGCTTGTGTGTGCTCTCAGGTAGTGGCGCAGGTCTGTGGTGGGCTGTGAGGGCTCTCAGGTGGTGGCGCAGGTCTGTGGTGGCCTGTGTGTGCTCTCAGGTGGCTGTGCAGTTCTGTGGTGGGCTGTGAGGGCTCTCAGGTGGCTGTGCCGTTCTGTGGTGGGCTGTGAGGGCTCTCAGGTGGCTGTGCAGTTCTGTGGTGGGCTGTGAGGGCTCTCAGGTGGCTGTGCAGGTTCTATGTTGGCCTGTGTGTGCTCTCAGGTGGCTGTGAAGGTTCTATGGTGGCCTGTGTGTGCTCTCAGGTGGCTGTGTGGCGTCTATACTGGGCAAACGTGAAAATGTAAGTCATAACAAAAATAATGCAAGACTAACACAATAACTCTTCAACGTCTGTGCTCACTGAAAACAAAACATACTTTTCCTTTACAGGATGATCTCCCTCGTCTATGAGCATCTCCAATTGTCTGATAAGAGATATGACGCGAATGGAAGAACATTCTCATCATCACATTAGAAGTTTTGTAGCAGCCCCATCTGCCAGCCATTTACACCACACGGCTTCAAGCCTCTCCAACAGAGCAGGAGGGTCGCACAAGCGTCCAAGACAAATACATTAAATATACGGCCGGCCGTAAAGCTGAACATGTTCGTCCGTGGAAACTGCAATTTGGGAGGATTAAGCCAAAGTGTCTCTCTGGCACAAAATGAATACGTTGCAGTCATGATCCTTCGGCTAAGTGCTCGCCCTCGCACAAAAAGCACACTGTAATATTTTATAACATGCGGGCCCGAGGAATAGACGGGTGAAAACTGGATCGGGGCCCCCCGGCCCCGTTTTAGCCTAATACAGCAAACAATCGCTTGAAGACGTATAATCAAAGGTCATCTATATTTAGAACAAATGCGGCCCTGTTGTTTAATAACGATTGGAAAGAGGAAGGAATTTGCTATTTTCCTAATGACTTCGAAGACAGGAAACTTCGGACATTCCGACGACAAGGGCAGGTCATGTGATTTTTCCTGTCTCGGACGATGGCTCCGATTCCAGGGAAAGATTTCGGCAACAACACTGGAAATGTGAACTTGTACAGAACATGGATGCGTTTCACTTCAGAGGAAGCTTGTTTGGCTTTCGCTTAGCGTTCATTTTTAATTGACTTTATAACATTTATCCAAAGGGCCCATCCTAACGAGAGCGCTTGCAAATGCCTGACATTAACACATCGGCATTAATAGGCTTCCAGAAGTGTTTGCAAAGCCTTGAATTTCGCAGAGTGCTTTGGAGCATTTTTTTTTTTTTTGCATTTCAAGCCAACTCTCTATTTATTTTTATATTCTGGTCATCTAGGAGTGTGAAAAAAACAGCACTGGCTGCAATAGTCTTGTCCTCACCAGCACTTTTTGCTGCAGTACCCCTTCTCTACCACAAGATGTCCTCAGTCTTCTGGGTTAAATGACACCCTGCATCATTCAACCCAAAAGAGTGAGGACATACTGTAAGTGCAGGGCGACATGGGCTCACCCTCTGAGGTGCCCTGCTCTTACAGTGAATTAGTACAGTGTGATGTGTGTTACCGTCAGCTGCGGTATGTGACCACACTGCATAGGTGGGACGCAAACTTTAGGTTTCATGCATATGCCAAGTGTGTGCAAAGTGGAATAATAATCAAATAATTTTTTAATGATTTAAGGTGAAGATAAAAAATTGACCCCCCTCCCATTTTATTGAAATCTGTGTCTCTGTTGTGTCAGGAATAGAGGGAAAATCTCTCCCATGGAAGGTTCAGACAGAAAAAGAAACCATACAATGGTACAAATGTCCTTTTCCACTGTATTAACGGAATTCTTTTGTTCCCACCTTTGTCTTCCCCGTAGAGACTTCTCACTTCTGGTCCGCGTGACCACGACAGGGACACAGAAAGCAATAAAATACTGGAGGTTGCAACCATTCCCCACTCTATACAAAAATTAAATAAAAATAAAAAAGGCTGAGGCTCCACCTTAAACCATAAAGTTGAAGTTTAATCAGCTCATATATTTCCCTCCCTGGCTCCTTCTTTTCCCTCATCAACATGATAAGTTAATCATTAAATGAAAGTTTTTATTGCAAACTTTATGTTATACCCAATGATATCATCTCTGTGCTTCTCTATGCAATGCAGGTAGATCATAGCTGCATTGGCAGGTTGTTGTATATCGATTCCTGAAAGCTTCCACTGCATCCTGCTTCAGTACTCCTCTCATGAGCCCTTAACCCTGATACAAGCAGCGGGCCGGCTCTGGGGAGGAGTTACGCAAAAGGTCTTGATGGGTGGATGTCAGTCTGAAAGAGTGGGCGTTCCTAGGCAGGC